CAGGGAGGTATGGGACAGTGCCGCTGCGCTGCCTCAGACAAGCAGCACGCAGCAGCAAAAGCTGCTCCATTCTCCCCGCAGCTCCCAGACAAGCCGTGGCTTAGCCCTGGCTGGGCAAGTATTGGCAGGGTATGGTGCAGTGGCAAGCCATGTGCACCTGGATCGGGGCAGGGCCCGCAGCAGGTGCTATGAGGAATTTTAGGGTGGCTGCAGCCCCCCCATAGCTCCTGCTCCACTTTGCTCTGTGGGGTGGATGGAGTCAGGGCCAATGGTTATGCTCCAGGTTGTGGCTGGCTTCACCCACCCTACAGAGCACAGCCTGGTGGCGGGCAGTTAGGGCTAGCCACCCGGAACGTAGCCCAGACTCTGCCCACCCTGCAGAGCGCAGCCTGGCAGAGCACGGCGGAGTGCAGGCCAGTGGCAGGCTGTTGAGCCTAGCCTCCTGGGGCACAGCCTGCCCCACACAGATCTGGGAGAACACACCCACTCCCATGCCCTCCTGGACTTGTGGTGCGCAGTGGCAGGAGCCTCCCTCCCCAAGTCCCATGTCACCCCACCCCAGCTGGGCATCTCATCTCAGCCCCAATCCCTCCCTTGCTGTGGGGGCATTCATCTGCCACCCCCACACCCCTTCCCTCCTCCTCCACACACCACAACAGATTTACCAGGTGGAGGCAGCTGTGTCCAGCGTGGTCAAGGGACTGCTACCTGTTTAGTCTATGGCCAAATATTAGAATCGGCGCTGAATCTCTCTAAATCAATTCAGAGGCTCCCGATTTGATTTGGACCTTTTAATGGGTCTCCTGATTTCAATTCGGATTTAGAGATTTGGCCGCCAAATCAGACCGAATCCCCTCTGAATCAAATCAGCTACCAAAGCTTTGCACAGCCCTATTATCCATTCTACATTATAGAAACCTAGAACCTCTAGGGTCTTTGTCTCAACCAGTGAAATTTCTTTGGAGGGATAAAAGCTATAACACGTTCTAAGGGGGTTGGCAAATACTCATTTAATAGGGCCATGGGGTCTGACCCATGATCCCAACACTGACACCTCTTGCCATGCTACACATGCATAGCAGGAATCGTGATCATTAGGATCAGAGAGCAGATCCAAATAGAGCCACTGCCAGCAGGAAACCCAAAGCATGGGTTTGCAAGTGCTAGATGGGCAGGAGTGGGGAGGGGAGAGTAGATCGATTTTCCCCTATCCTGACAGCTGCAGGACCTTAGGCTCCCACCCAGGGACCTAAAGGAAATGGGAAGCCTATCCCCATTCCAGGGTCCCAGTGGACATCTAAAACTGCATGTGTTACTGGGCACCTAAGCACTTAAGAAATGAAGTTACTTTCTTCATGGTTACCTAATTGTAATGCATGTGTCCTGCTGAAAAAAATCCTATTATTTGTCTGAACCTTTTTCATTAACATTCTTTTCTTCACTCTTTCAGTGGAGGAAGACACAGAGGAGAGTTCAAGATCAGGTAGAGAATCTGTGTCCACAGCAAGTGACCAGCCATCTCACTCACTAGAGAGGCAGATGAATGGAAGCCAAGATAAGGGGGACAGAAGAAAAGCTGGAAAGGATAAGAAGAAAGACCGAGATAAAGAGAAGGATAAAATCAAGGCAAAGAAAGGAATGTTGAAAGGCTTGGGAGATATGTTCAGGTAAGTGCTATGCCATCAGAGTTTTTAAGAATATTACAGAATGGCATTTCATGTTTTGGTTATTTGTACTATGGTAGCTCCTGAAGGCTACCTGCTGTACAAAATATTTTTTTTTAAGTCTTTATAGCACCATAATATGTTCTCCATCCAATGGATAGATTCACTGCAGTTCTTCTGAGAGGGGCAAAACAATTCACTGTTGGAGGCAGTGCTAAGGTCACTTCTGTGAATGCTCTAAGAGCTGGCATAGCCCTTCAACATGACTTGAAGAGCCTTGGGGGGCCTCTAAAGTATAGAAGCTCTCTTGGCTGCCTTGTGGACTGCTGTGCTGCTTGGTTTTGCCACAGTGCTATACAATATAAACCCACCCTCCCCTGCCTTTGTGGCATAGGCATTGCACCCTGTACCAGAGCTCACCAGAGGGTCCTTGGAAGACTATAGTGACACCTGTCCACCTGGCAGGGGGGGTTACCACCATGAGGTGGTTTTCAGCCCAGGTGGTTACCTGGCAGGGAAGATACCCTTCTTCTTGGCCTTGAATTAGATGGTATAGTTAAACGGTGGAGACCTGTCTGTTGCACTGTGGGCAGGCACCCCTGCAAGTGTCTACAAATGCCTTCAAAAGTGAGGATCTTGGCTACACAATTTATGGTGATGGGGGATTGCTCTTGGGCTTTCTCTCTACCTTACTCCTTTGGCCTTTTTGCTAGGGACAAGTGAGATTAGGGAGCATCTGAATTCCAAGGCCTCCAGGCTTGGCCTTGCATGCAGGATGCCTACCATGGATTTGGGAGTATCTGAAGCCATAGGCTGAAGAGTCTGGGAGGCAGGATACTTGCTGGTAATAGCACCACACAGGCTTGAAAGATTAAGCTCTGCTCAGTGTATAGAATCTGGGACTGATTTGGACCAAGACACAAATTAAAAAAAAAAAAACCCACCAAAAATGCTGTTTATGCAGTGAAAGAACTCTCCTCCAACTGGAAAACTTTACACCAGTCCAGTCCTTGTTCCCATCCAAAAGAGGCCAAAGCAGGACTGAAGCATTCACCCAGTGAATAAACATAGGTTTGAAGCTGTTTTAAAAAAGGAATCCATCACAGCCTGGAACACAATTCTCAATAGTGGTTTTTATAAACTTTTTAGAGAACTTTGTTATGGGGAAAGGGAAGAAAAGAAGTTAAGTCTTTCTGGCAAGGGTAAATATATTTCAATGACAGAGGATTGTTAAGTTACTGTTTGTTCTTTTGTATATGTACAGTGAATCATTATTCAAATTTAACTTTGAGACAGAGTATCATTTTAAGTGTTCATTAATAGTGAGTCTGTCATGAAAAGGTACAAATAGAGCTTCAATTAAGCTCAATTAATTTGCTACTTGTTACACTTATTCTACAAAGAATTTATTTAAGTTTAGCTAATTATCATTCACAGACATTTTTATTCAAAAATGCATACTACAGTGCAAGGATAATCTCATAGTTAAGGCAGTAGAAGTAGAAATTGGGTATCTTTGCCATCCCGCTGAGGTGTTTTGGCCCTGCAGTGCACGTTCTGCTCAGTATCCTCGTTTGGATGTATGGTGTAGCTGACACAAAGTGAGGGACAAAATTATTCATGTAGCAGACTTAAAATGCACTGGGATTCTTTGCTTTAGTGTAAGTTCTTTCTACAGACTCCCATTTCATGATGTTTATTTGTGATGTAAATCACTTTCCACCATATAAGGGTTGTAGGTAGTGTGGGAAGTAAAATAAGTAGCACCCCTTGAAATAAGGAACAGGTATGAGGCTCAGCAAAGCACTTAAAAAAGAAGACTTTTTTTTGTTCCTGAGCTTTCTCATCTATAAAGTGATGGTACAAATGGTATTTGTACACAGTGCTATGCTTCTCAGAGGTCCTGTGAAGCAGAGGCCTTGATGTTACAGTACATAGTCAGACCATTCGCCTTCAAATAGTTCTATAGAGCAAGCGTCAAACATAGCCCACAGGCCAGATCTGGTCCATGGAACCATTTCAGCCAGCCCACTGGTACTCCAGAAATTGTGGGGCATGACCAGTTGCTGAATTTGTGGTCCCTGAACCCAGTGGACATGGCCATCAGTGGCAGGGGTTTGAGCAAGGGCTATGCAGCTACCGCCCTCACTTGCCCTGTTGCTGCCCGATTCCCTGACCTATGCTGCCACCTGATTCCTGCCCTGCCCTGCTGGTCCCGCCCGTTGACCTGTGCTGCCCCAGTAATGTAGATCAACATCTCTGGCCCTGGAACCAGACCTGGCCCCATCTTAATTGCTGGTGGTTCCATGGACCCAAGAGACCCATGCAGTCTGGGTTTTCTCCAGGACCTAGAGTGTGTTTGTTCCCTCCCACTATAGAGAGAGAGGGGCTCCAGAGAGGCTCCTGCAAGTTGTCGTAGGATCAGGATCTAAAGATTTAATGTATCTATGTTGCTCTGAGGTCATCAGATAGAACCTGCTAAAGCAGTTGTGCTCAAATGTTTGGCTCTGTGGGCCCTGAACTCCAGAATCAGGCCCTGATTCATCACTGCCCAGCTCCACGTGCCAGGATTGGGCTCTGCACCACCTCTGCCTAGCTCCATGTGCCAGGATTGGATCTCCTGCTGCCCTGATAAGCCCTGTGCAGTCCTGTTCAGTCTCCTTCCCCTAATTAGCTCCCCGCTGCCCCGAGCAGCCTCATGCTGCCCCCCCACCTCCACAGCCAGCCCCACACTGCCGCAATCCTCTCTGTGACACGCCCAATCTATTGTACAGGGCCATGGTATTCATCTAGTGGGGCTTCCCATAGGCCCAGAAATTTGACAGTAGGAGAGAGTCAATAAACTGCCACTATTCCCTTGCCACCAAATTTTTGGAGTGTGGGGAGTCCTGTGGACCAGATGACCTGGTTCCACAGACCAGATCTAACCTTTGGGCTGGGGTTTGAGTACCCCTGTGCTAAAGAAATGAAAAGTAATGATGCTTTTAGTAGGATCATAGGAAAATAGGGCTGAAAGGGACCTAATGAGGTCCTGTAGGTCAGCCCCGTGTTCAAGGCAGAGTCATCCCTGACTAAAACAACCCAACAGTCTAACATTAAACTTATTGGTGCAATAAGTATAAGTATATAACTTTTTATTTGAAAACAATAGTAATTTGGGTATTGAGAAGGGTTCTCAGTCCTCTTGTCTCTTGATCATTCAACATTACAACCGTTAGACCTGCTTTGTTGAAAGCTTTCTTAAAGCATTTCTTGAGTAATGGGCTTGGCTGTATTTTTAAGATGCTCATTCTTCCTACAACTTGCTTTGTGATTTGGGCATCTAATGTTGCTTAGAGTTATTAAATAACTGGTCAAATAGCACGTGATGATAAATAAGAATGATACCTTTTGTATTGGTAATATTTAATCCACAGGGTATTGGGTATTTTAGCACATCTCATTGTGCTTTATTGTCTCTGATTCTTCATATTTCTCATTTTCTTTTCCTTCCTTCTTTTTAATACCCTTAAGATAATCTTTCTTCATTAGGCTGTATGGGCAAGAACACTTGTGGGGTGGAATTCCTGCTTACTGACGCTTTATTTCAGTGTCTGTATTTAGCCAAGGGGCTTTTTATTGTCTGTATGCAAACTGACAGCTCATAAACTGGGGCCTATATAATGTGGAAAAATAATGCTGCTTCCCCTCAATTAAAATCTAAAGATTTGGTACTAGGCTCTTCGTTAAATTGCAGTGTAAGATGCAAACTCCCACTAGAGATCATAGGTTATATTTCTCCTTCTTCAGCACAGAATCATTATTTCCAAAGATTCCCCGTATGATTCCTACAGCAAGTTTAGAGTCATAAATAAACTGTTTGATTTTTTTCATTGCTTTGCCCTTTTTATGGAACAACACAGAAAGATTTGGTGTCGCTCAAAATTACTGTATTAGGATTAAAATTAAGGGTCCATTTCTGGAAGCCTTTCGTATACAGAACTCCCAGCGGGTTCCAAAGGAGAGCTTGATGGATCAGGACTAGATATCCTCTTTCTACCCATTCTCCCTGTGCAGTGTGTATGTTTCTATTTATACATATTTCAGGATGGGGAAGAGAATATTATAAGTAAATTGGTCCGTTGAAAATATGGATTAATAGAATCATGGGGCTGAAAGGGACAACAAAAGGTTATCTAGTCCAGTCTCCTGCCCTAAATAAATGATTCTCAACCTTTTTAGACTCAAGGTACTGAACACACAACACATCTCTGAGGGATCCCAGTTGATACCTCTTCTGAGTTGAACACTATGTCACTGGTGAGAACTCTGAGCATGGACAACCAACCAGTTATACACTTACTTATAGCACTGTGTGCCCGCCTGGCCTCAAACATCCGGTCATGTGCCACTCGGGCCCGGATATTTGGTGATGTTTGTCTGTCCGTCCCCGATGTTCCTGCCAAGTGGGTGTCTCCTACCATTATAGCCTTTCCCCAATCTTGCCTGCCACGTCTTTGGATCTTGTTCCAGTGGTGGGTATCCAACCACTGGAGGTGTCTCGACTACAGGATGTCTGTCTGGGGATCTTCTGCGAGGCTCCACCTCCCCTCTACCTCGCCCTTACACCCTGCCTCAACGGGCTTCAGATGTCCTTCGGCCAGTTCCCCAACTGTTGAGGCTCTGCGTACACTTGCAGAGATGGGCTATAGCTCTGCTGGACCAACCCTAACTCCACCCACCATGTCTCACAGCTGTCTGGCCTTGCCTGAGGCTGTAAACCCCCTTTAGGTTTAAACGACTTTTGGGCTCCATATGCCTTGCCCTGCAACCCCTCCAAAAGTGGGAAACATAAACAAAAAAAATACCAACAACAGAGAAATACAAAGATGGTAAGAGAGACCCTCTGCCCCCCTTTACTGCCTGCTCCCATGGCCTGCCCTACAACAACAGGCCTCAGGCGCCTGAGGTCCCTAGTTAGCCCTAAATTGGGTCCGGGCTAGACTGCAAGCTACTGCGTCCTC